CTGCGCCACCAGGGAGGGCCGGAAAGTGACTTTTTTTAATGGCTTAATTCTACTCTGTTCTGAAGCAGACTCTGGAAGTTGCCCCAAGTCCCCTGACAGAAGAGAGTGAGGCCGTGCTCGTTACCAGCTCAACGCTGCTGGCCCTGGGGACATGCTTCCCAGCGACTGTGACTGTCGGGGACCTGCCCCGATTTATGTGACAGCTTTTGCTTCGGTATAAGGCCGGCTTTCTTGGCTTCTTTGCCACAGGCACGCTAGAATAGGAAACATACCATGTACCTTGTTTTCTCCCTCAGATTGTAGCTGTTTTTGAACGCAGTACATTTGGAGGAAATGTAAGGAAAAGGGAAAGTTTATTTGTGACCCAGCAGGAGGGATGGGAATTTATTTTGAAATCAAAGGTTTGCATACTATAAAGCAACAAGACTGCTTTTATACACTTTTATACATTTTTTTTGTATGCAGATTTTGATTATTAGTGACATTACATTAAATTCTGTGCAAACAGAATTTGAAGAGCATTGCAGTTGCTTTTCCGATGTTGCCGATGCACCTTTGGCTACAAGCAGATAAAAAACAATTCTTGAGTCAACCTGAAAAGATGCATTTTAAACAGATATTCCTTTGCTCTAGAATCAAATCAGTTTTCCTAAAAGAAAAAACAAAAAAGTACACTGTGTTTGCCAACATATGCATTCATGTGAAAGGAAAATGAATTTTTAGTAGCTTGACGCAGCTGAGGATTTTAGCAGTCATTCTTATGGGTGCGTTTCGGGCCATGCTGGAACCCACCGCTGCAGCTAGTGGGGTCTCTCGCCCACACTTGGCTTCCACCTCACAGCACTCCTCTTGGTCCTGACTCCTTTGAAATCTAAACATACATCAGGTATCCCTGAAGAAAATTTGGATCTGAATGGAGATGTTCCATACGTGTAAAGTAAGAGGTTTTGGAAGAAGTTAATATGAAGAAAAATAAACATTAATTTTTCATTACCATCAATAGGGTAATAATTCACATCTATTTGGTTAAATAAATATTTTATTAAAATGAATGTTTACTTATATTTACTTTTTTTTTAAATGATGCATAGAAGAACTGGGGTACAGGCCAGAGGTGTGGGGGCCACAAAAGGATCCACCAGAGTCAGAGTGGGCAGCAGAACAGGCAGACTGACTGAAATACTCTGTGGAGGGAGCAGCAGGGAGACAGGAGAGGTCTGCTGTGCCCTGTGGGCCAGCTCCTGGCCGCAGATTGAACTCGTGCCGCAGTGACTTGGGACAGCTTCAGAGTGCCGTGCTTTCACCTGTTTCGCCGTCAGGGAGAGCCTTATATTTACCTTTTCGTAATTTGACTACTCAAACATTTAAAATGAAACACATGATTCACCATGTATTTCTATTGGTTATTACTGGCCAACACCCCCCCCCCCCAAAAAAAAAACAACATTCAGTTAGCGAACACTGGCATTAATGTGGTGCTGTTGGGACAGTGACAGCAGTGCCGTGCTGATCCCAGTCTGATCCCAGATAGCAGCTTCCACAAGGGCAGGCAGTGCCTCTTACCCTGGGTTTACATGTCCTAGCTCACTGGGTAGCGTGTTAGATGTTAACAGGCATTTGTACACTGATTGCCCCAGGGTCTGCTCTTGACATTTGTACACAGACCTACAATTTTCCTTTATCTCCAGGATAGCATCACGGCCATCCCTTTGAGTGAACACCCCACTGCTGTGCACACACACACAACACGCACACACACACACGAGCGTTTTGTTTAGTCTACTTGAAGGAGGGTTTCATAGTAGATCGTTGCAGAAGCAAAGATTGTTTCGCCCTGCACCTTACATGCATTTTTATATACCTTTAGTAGTTGAAAAGTTTTAAAATCGAATGACATCTTGTTTTTCTTGCAACATTTTTATTTTGATTGAGGGAGAAGTATTGTGCAAATAACACTGCAGTTTGGATTAGAGAAATTGGTCTCATATTCTGCCAAGTTTTCTAACTAGCTCTGTAACCTTGAGCAAGGGATTTAAGCTTTGTGAACTTCAATTTTTCTAATCCGGAAAAATGGGGATAATATCCTGTACCTCACCAGGATGTTGTAAGCTATAAGTGGGAAAAATATCTTAGCATACTTAGCAACCGTAAGGAGTTACAGAAATGTAAGATATTATTATTTTGATAGTGACAAATACTTTGAAGGACGTGTGCGCTATAATGTGGAGTTGAACTACCATCCCTGTGAAGAGGTGAAAGCTTATCTGAATGTAAGTCTATGTTTTGGTAGGAAAATCTACTCTCATTTTTTTCGAAAGGTATGATCCAGCTCTATAAAAATTATAGTCAAATGCCCCAAATAAATCATAAGCATTAGCAGAGAGAATAGCCAGGAAAGAAGGCAGCAGAGATTTAAGTATTATAAGATTAGTTAGACCAGAAGGTGCTTGTGAGCAGATTAGACTGAATTAGAGACACCTGGTTTTCAGCGCCAGCCCCTGGCATGGCTGGGATTTTGGAGCCTGGCGCTGCTGTGACTGAGATGGGAGGGCATGCCCAGCCTGCCTGGAGTGGGTGCTGGTTTTCTATTTTATTTATTTTTTATTTTTGTGCATTTTTCCATCTCAGTTGCAATCCCCCGGGTTTCCCATCACCAGATTACCCATGTGCCATCACCATAGTCCAGTGTATTCCCTCCCGTCACTGTTTTTTTTTTGTTGTTGTTATATTTTGTCAGATGTGTGATATGTAACTATATTCTCCCCATCAGTAGGTTGTCTTTTTTGTTGTTTCTTTTGAGGTACAAAATCTTTTGCTTGATTTAGTCACACTTGTTTATTTTTACTTTTGTTTCTCATGTAAGCCCCCCACTGTTTTTGATCGCATTCCCCATTCCACCCTCACAAAATGTCTGGTACATAGCTGTTCATCATTATCATGGTTTTCTCGCCTGTTTTGTTATATTCCTGCTATGAGAGAAGCCATCCGGTATTTTTCCTTTTCTTTCTGGCTTATCTCACTAAGCATGATCCCTTCCAGCTCCATCCATGTTGCTGCAAAAGACATGTGTTTATTTCTTTTGGTTGCTGAGTAATATTCCATTGTATTTATGTACCCATATTTTTAATCCAGTCATCTACTTTTGGGCATTCGGTCTGTTTCCATGTCTTTCCAATTGTGAATAAAACAGCAGTAAACATGGGGGTGCAGGTGTCTTTTTGAATCAGTGTTTTTGTGTCTTTTGGGTAGATGCCTAGGCGTGGGATTGCTGGGTCGTAGGGGGGTCCATGTTTGGGTGCTGTTTTTTTTGGACAGCGAATACCCCTTCCTTCCTCCAACCCCCCCCCAAGCCTGCCACACCCTTGCAGAACTCTGCTCTTAAGTGGGGTGCTCCTGATAATGCTTTCTCTCACACCTGTTGTGCGTGGTCCAATCCGGTTTCAACCCCATCATGGCTGGGAAAGAAAGCAAATGGCAAGGTGAAAACAAAGCATGAGCTGCAGGCTGAACCATTCATGGGCATCTCAGTGCTTGCGTGCCAAGGTTCCCCAGTCTCACAGGCAGCGGGAGCTGTGCCTTCAAGGAGGCATGTGCTTCTGCTTTGCAATGAGCAACTTCTCCCCCAAATGGCCTTTTCTGAATGGGAGAACCCTAAAATGTACCTTGGTACCCAACCTACCAACTACAGAGATTGCCTAGTTTACAATAGTGAACTTTACCAGTGGATGCCACCCTCCCAAGCCTGCCCCAGTGCAATCAACGTATTGCCAACTTTACCGGGAAGGGTGCTGGGACCTGCTTGCTCTTCCCTCCAGCTCTCCAGGTGCGGCTCTGGAGGAGCGCCCCTATTTATTACCGTGGCATGCAGCCGCTGAGGAGATGCTTCCCACTTTTTCAAGTCACCCTTGGCAAACATGCTTGAATTGTTTCCTCTGTCAATGATTTTAAGTTACTGTAATCACACTCTTAATTTGTATCTTCCTTCTGAGTTACGTATTTCCAATGAGTTATAGTATTTCCAGTATTTCCAGTGTGGGGGCCCTAAGGTTGCAGAGCCAATCTGACACGCAACAGGGAGCTTGTCTTCTTAGCGACACTTCAGTGATCTTATGCACTTACTTTAAGAACATTCTTACGTGGATGGTGGCCTTGATTATAGCCATGAAGGCAGTTGGGTTAAAAACAGCAAGAATATTTGTAAATAGTTCAGCTGTGCTTGTCACCAGCTGTGACATTTTAATGTCAGCCTGTTCAGACGCTGTGGTAGAATGGGGAAGGATATGGCCGTCAGTATTTGGGGACCCTTTTGTTATAGTTGTGACCTTTTTCACGTTGCAAAACAAAAGGACATTTGTTTTTCTTCCTTCCTTCACCATGGCACAACTTATAAAAAGAAATGTACAAGGAAATGCTAATAAATCAGGTAAATACTAAAATTTCATAATTCTTCCCTCTTCAGTACAGTTTTTTTTTTCCTCCCAAATTTAAAGTTTTTCCTTAAGCATGACCTTGAACACTGGACAAAGTGCAGCTCTGTTTAAGAGTACCTGCAAAAAATCATTTCCTCTATAAATCACTTGCATGATTAGAACTACGTAAGCATGTGCTTTGCAAAGAAACAGCCTGTAATTGTATGGATTGTCACTTCAAGAGATAATAGAGAGGGGAAAGGAAAGCAAGACGAACACTTATTTCCAACATCTGTGTGACTTACGTGTCTGCGGATGACAGTATTTATTAGTATACATATTATAAGCTACCGAAAGTCCCTACAAAGAGGTTATTATTTAAGTATGAAGTTTGCCAGTCATTTGTCATTCACTTGCCTGCACACCTATACAAATCTTTCTCAACGTGTTCGGGGCCCTGAGTTATAAAAACTTTCAGTTGGTATATTGTTCTAAACTTGAAAGGAGTCATTCACACCCGCACCGAACTGGCCAGGCAGGCAGCTCTTTAAAAGGATTGTGACCGGGATATGCTTCTTGTATTCCCTCTGTTTTTCCCACCTTGATTTCATGCTCAGCGCGGTGATTTATTTCTCCAGGGCACCGAGCCATCCACGGTGGTAGTATTTCATAGCTCGCCTTTCATCCGCACGGCCCCGCCACCCTTGCCTATGACTCACGCCTCTGCTGGTGTTTCCCTGATAGCACAGCTTCTGATTAGCCGTGTGGGCTCCCTGCGCGCTGTTCTCATCCTGCCCACGTGCGGGTTTGCTGAGGCATGTGAAATGTGGCCATCCGCGCCGGTGTCGGGGCATAATCCTATCTGGGCCAGGAAATGCCTGGCCGCCCAGATACTTCTCAGAGCAATAGGGCAGGGACTAAATCTCTTATTTCCTTCCTGTCCTCTGTTCCATAACACCTATGGCCCAAGCGGCTGTGTGGTAGCCACTAATCTGGGCACTTTGCTTGGTTAATACCTCCGAGAGAAAGCACATTTTGTGTTCAAGTCCTGGAGGTTTGTTGTTACGGAGTGATGGACTCATTAGTGAAGCGGACCGCCATGTAAACCATCCATTACAAAGCTAGGTGGTCGTTCGGGTCCTCGCGCGGACCTGGGGCAGGTTACCTGGTCTCACTTCACTTCAGGTTACCTGGTCTCACTTCACTTGCTCTTTGTGTGAGGGAGACACAGGTGCCCACGGCAGGCTTATTGTGAGCAGTGATCTGTGAGTGACTCGATTGCCAGCCTCCTCCTCATCCTCATTTGTCACAGTAGTGCAGATTGTTTTATCTCTGAAAAATAAAACTCTGGCTTGAATGTCAGCAATGGGAGATTGGGGCAAGAGTGAAACAGAGGTTCAAACTACAAGAACTTACACTTAAAAAAGGCAAGAAAACTCGTGACAGGCAGTATGCGTTGGGCTCCTACTTATGTGGAGATGAGCAGGTCAGGTTCCTCACGCGTTTGCACGCTATGTCCACACCTGTCCACACGGTATGCCCACACGTGTGCGTACGGTATGCCCACATGTGTTCGCATAGTATGACCACCTGCAGACACGCACTGTTAGTGGCCACCTTAGGTGTTACTGGCCAGGCTTTTAAAGCCCCTGCTGGATTCTGTTGGAGTATCTCTGTGTAGATGTCCTCTAACTACATAATTAAAAATTGTCCTTTGATATCTGTCACTGTTTCCTTTCTCCCCATATTTTAACCTATCAATCCCATTTTCTTTATATTGTTGCATACATAAATTAATTTTCCTATGTGACATTGAGATTATTACAACTGCTGGTTTGTGCAGCTATGCCTAAAGTTCGAATTTTGCTGTTTGCATACTTCCTTGCTCACTAAACTCAGAGTTTACCACAGCCACTTGCAATTTTGAGCCAGGTTCCATGGGAGTTCTGCCAGTGAAAATTTGCTAACCTGTATCAAAGTAGCATTTTGGGGTGGTTTTTAGGAGATAAAATTAGTCTACTTCAGACATGTTCTAGAGACATAAGAACAAGCCAGTTGGCAAAATGCAGTCTACCAGAAAGATGGATAAAACATATAAAAGATAGCTCATTCCCAGAAAAATAGCAAAAAAAGCTATAAACAGAAAACACTTGAGGCTTGAAAATAAAGACACAAGCATCTTGTTTAGCCTTTCAAGTTGGAAAATATTGAAAAAAAAATTAACCTTTTAGGTAATTTCTTGTGGTGGATATGTTATCGTATGTAAACCTTTTTGGGAATACTTACCATGGACTCGACTTCACATCACAACCTCCTGCCCTGAAGCATATATGGGGGCAAAGAATTAAGGGTCAGGGAATAGCGGTGCGTGGTGTGACTGGTGGCACTAGCAGCTTTCTACAATGGTTGTGTTAACCTCCAGCCGGTGGGGTTCACTGGAAGGTATGTGCTTGTAGCACACCCCGCTGGGACTCCTGGGGTGTGCTTGCACTGTGCCTCCAGCCAGGGAGCACCAGCCTCCAGCCAGGGAGCACTCTGCCTCCAGCCAGGGAGCAC